TCGAAATTGAGAATGATGTTACTAATATTACAAAGAGGATGGATCAGTTTTCAAGGTAAATTAACCTTCAGTGGTGGAGGTCTTTATTTACTTGATAGGGTAGTTTATTGGCTAAATTATTCGATGTTGTAACAGGTTGGATTTCAAAATCACTATAAAATCGACCAACGCTTTCCGTGGATGTCACGTAAATGAGAGAAGCGTACGTATTTCTAATTTTTATCATACTAGCTTCACTATTAGTTATTACTCTTTTCAGTTAACTTAGTAGACTGACTCGCTGATACTGAATAAGACTTTCATCTGTGTATGGGATGATGACTAGACTTGGCTAGGCAGTATGTCATAGTTACATTTCATTTATTCGTACATTCTTAGTAGGGTAATTAGGCGATTGTTATGGCCTCAGAACCAATAAGGATGTTGCACGAGCTATCCTGAGGCCGAATTTTCAACTTTCAAGTTAGAACTGAGTTTTTCAGAATTAATTAATATTATTATTATCCCAATTCCATTCGGCTAGGGTTGTCTTACAAAGTCTGTTTGATGCTAGTAAGTAGCCTCCAAGTTGTAGTCATATTTGTAGTTTCCCGTTCCTATACAGGGCTGAATTGCTTGACCTCTATTAACAGATGACCTCCTATACGAATGCCTCGATGCTGCAGGATATTCATGATGTAATATTGGTCTTGGTGACTAACAGTGGAATTGAGGAGACACGTTCCGTCCTACTTGAGACTCGTCAGCGAGTGATGTTTTTCCCACTGAGGCTCGAATCCATTGCCCTCGGCTTCAAACACTAGAGTGTTATCTACTTAGCCACCACTCTGCATTGGGGTGCAGGTACATCCAGCTGACGAGTCCCAATTGGGACTAAAAACCCGTCTTGAATCCCTTTGCTAATCACCAAGATCAATATAGCCTCTAAGTTATTGACGTTGTTTTTCACCATCTCAGTTAATTTCCGTTGGCTTTTGTCAGTGGATTTTCATGTCTACAACAGGCATAATTCTGCTTTGGAGACTGAAACCACCCAAGAAAACTTATTACTGTGCTGTTTTTTTTTATTGAAGAAATATATATCCTCCCCACAATATTCAATGTAATCTCTGTTGGATGATGTGACTATATAATTTTATTTTCTGTCCTGGTAAACACTCATATTGGATGCACCAGAGCAATAAAAAAGCCTTGATGAAATTTATTTCTCATCTCATCACTTTTTCTCTAATGTTTCCAGAATTCGTTGAATTGAATTTTCACATGACAGATGACCTCATCAGTGTAGTTGTACATATATGGCCTTTGTGTATGTATGTAAATCAGAGTTTTGGTAATTAATCATTTCATAACTTGGAATGTTGTGCCTGTTAATGTGGGGATGTACACGTGTTTGGGTGGGAACACATATTGTTTTCTAGTTAGTAATATCATAAGGTTATGCATTATTATTATTATTTTCCCTTGTGTTCCTAGTGAGACATGGGGCTTCAGTAGCACGCCTCCATTCCACTCTCTTCTCTGCAGTCTTTCCAACCTGGCTCCACAAATGCCCACAAGCTTTCATTTCTTCCTCACATGATCTCCTCCATGTCACCCTCTCATCGGATGCCCAACTCGTTGTTTCCCCTTTGGATTCCGCTTGAGAGCCTGGCGTGGCCTGGCCTGGAGCTTGATGTCCCCAGTTGGCCCTCTCAGTGTATGCCCAATCCAATCCGATCCACCCACCTCCACTTCCTTCTGCATATTTGTTGGGCGATGGGTTCTGGTTGGTTCGTTGTCAGCCAGCCAGAGTTCCTTGTTGCTCATTCTTACAATTCTGGCCATCTAATCTCCATCTTCAGAATCGAGTGAGCGTAGGTGGCAGCTGTTGATGTGATGAATGTCTGTAGTATGTTTGAAGTGGTTTTCGTGACGCTCCAAGTTTGTGAACCATCATATAGGAGCAGTGACTTGACTGAGATTGGTGTTGAAAATGCGGATGATGTTGATGCTTTGTGCTGAGTGGAGTGGAGTGCAGTAGATCTCCACATTGATTGTTTCAGATTAATGCGGTAAGGTCTGTCTTGCTGTATTTTGGATGCTGGCTGCTTTGACATCCTCGTGTGTGTGCCTGTGTCGCCTGTAGTTGAAAATATGCTGCGTTGGCTGGCTGGATAGTTGAAAAAGACTACTTCCTTTAGATTTCTCCTATTGATGGTGATTGGTGCTTGTTGTTGTTGGTTGGGTATCTTCATCACCTGTGTCTTCTCTACGTTGACCTGAAGGAAATCCCGTTTTTGCTGTCTCGCCTCGCCTCACCTCGCCTTGCCTTGCCTTGCCTCACCTCTTCTGTCAACTTGTTAGTTTTCGTGTGTAGATCTTCGAGTTTGTGTGACAAGACATTAGACATAAATCCTGATCGTCGGTGAAATGGAAATCTTGTGTTGGGGTGTTTTTATCTGTGCAGCCAGTGTATGCTACTGTTCTCACAGTTGCTCACAGTTTGTTGTATGATCTATTTCAGTTGAGTCGACCGCACTCAAGAATATGATTGGTGATGTTAGGCGGCAACTTTGTCTTACTCCTATCTTCACTTCAAAATATATATGAAATACACTTACTACATAACCTTTAGCCTAGTAATATTTTGCTGATATTTGGTATCATATAGTAATGAAACGTAGATCAGGAGTAATATATTCTCAAAAGTTCATTAATAAATAATACTGTTTCGTTGTTCGATAGGTTATTACTACAGCATTTTGTTTTCTACTATTCATGTATTGAACTAAGTTAATGAATGGCATCATAGCACATTAATTACTTAGATCGGGTCTAATTATAGACGTTGGTCGTAATCACCTGATAGAATAAAACACTCGTCATAGCTTTTTGTACTACCTACTACATAGTTATAAATAAGTTATGCAGTTTAATGGCTCTAGATGGGTGGTAGACAGACAGATAAAATCAGCGTTGTCACACTTCCCAGTATTATGTAGAAAGAGAGCCAGTAGATCGAAAAGAGTTATGTCAAAGTGGACAAAGTTGTGTGAGAGAATATGCAATTTGAAGATAAAGATTGGTGCAAATATTCGGGCTATAGACGACGTCAAGGAGTGACCATTGATTTCTATTGTCTCTGGGACCCCAACCATATAGCCTACGACTCAGACCAAGAGTCATGGACTTCATCGACTGATGTCATGGATGGATTAGTTAGAAAGGTAGTTGTTATCGTTGTCATCAGCTAGACAGTATTTAATAAAAAGCCAGAAGTCAATCGATAAGGGTACACATTATTTCGGAATCGTTTGCTGGTAATCTCTTCTAGTAGAAAAAACTTCACACTGGGACAGTCTCAATGTCACTCATCCACTTTACTAATCTTGAAGTAGTACACTTCTTAAGTTGCATTGGTTTTCTCTAGGTTGAGAATATAGTATGAAGTATAATTTCCCGAGGTTATCGTTATGTTATTCTTATACATGTAGAGTATTTTCGTTAGTATCTTCTGTATGACCGTAGTTACAATGATACTAATAATTATTAGTTGAAAATACAAAAAGTGTTCTCATTTTCAATATAAATAAATCTTTTACTTAAGAATCTTTTTTATATAGTTTTTTGTAATCAGTTTGCCATCTTTCGCAATGCATATACATCATTAAGAGCAAATTTGACAGGATCTACATGGAATTTCTTTATCCAGTGATAAATGATAACAACTGTACTTGTATAACACGTGTGTATTGTGCAAAAAAAAAGTTAAATTCTAATTGAAATTTCGCTGCTTTTTTCTTGTTGTTGTTGTCGTTATTGTCTTAATCTTTCTTTCATTATCCTTATGATTTTTCACTTTAACATTATCCTATATACATGGATATATGTGAAGTATAAATGAATCAGGCATATTTCCTTCTTTCTTAGTTAGTATGAATTTTATACTTAGATATAATGCATACACTCAGTATTTCTCGATACTAAAGTTTTACAGCTTCCATTTTAGCTTGAATATTTTAATTAAGATTTATCAGTGAATGTTTCGTAGAGATTTTATGGTTAGTAAACTTAGAATTTGTGTAAATTTCTAGACATTCTTGTTAGTCGAACTGTGTCACAGCTTTTACAAACCTTTAAGAAACTGGATCTCTTATTGTAGAACATTTTAGAAAAATTGTTAAGGTTTGTTGTCAGTATCAGCTGTAAAAAAAAACTCTTTCATATTCTATTAATTCATTAATTTTTTGAGCTAGCATTTCTGATTACTATTTTTAATCCATAATATTGCTTAAATTGTTCTCCTCCTTTTACTTATTTATAATTATTAACACTTCAATTCAACACCTCTTGTTTAAATTTCAGAGAATTTTTATTCCTATCATATTTTGACATCTTATCTATTTGATTATAGAAAACACCTATTAATTCATTCAAGAACCGATTGATGAAGATTTTTAACTTTTTTTTTCATGCTTATTGTTTTCTTTCAGTTAGTAGGCTTTAAAGTTTATTGAAGTGTGAAACAAATGAAAGCGATATTTTTAAAGTCAGTATAGCATTTTCAAATAGTGATGGTTAACTAAGAAGACATCTGTGATCCCAAGAAAGTGATGGTTAGTCAGTTAAAATAAAGTCATAAGAAATAGATCATCAATCGACTTTTATAGTGAGTGAATTCGTTGATAAATCGAATAGTTTGTTAGGTAACTCAGTTAACTTATTATTTCTTATATCTGACAGGAGGAGTAGAACAACAGAACCAGGCATATAATATCCAGTTGTCTTTCGAAATTATCGTTGAACAATAAACATCAATGTGTTACGCCATCGCATCATACTGGTTTATTCCATTAGGATATATTACGTTTCATTATATGATTTTGAGTTTTAGTGTCTGCAGAGTTGTTTGCAGGAGACTTCGTTCAAACATTCGTGTAAATCTGTGTTTTTCGTAAGAAACGTTGTACACTTTCATTGTCTTTTTTTCTCTTTTCTCTATCTCTCCCTCTTGTTAGAATGCATTCGTTCCCATGTTTGTCATCAGATATCAACGTGAGGATAATTCAAAATGGTATGAATATAGAATGAGAAATGGAAGCAGGGTAAGTAATACATGTATACTTAAACTCTCAGTCGTTACTTATGCCTTATATCGACAAGTTCGATAAGACTTGAAATGTATGTAGGAGTAGGCTTTTGTAATGTAACTATTTGAGAAATTTTTTGCTAGTAGGACTGGTCTTTGTATTCAACGATATGATGACTGAAACTGACAGAAAATCTTGGTTGTAACAAGAGTCGAACCAACTGTCTTCTAATTACTGTTCTAACGTTCTACAAACCGTTTGTAAGGTTTCAGTGTCAAGCATAAGCTATTGAAGGATGTTTTTTAACAAAATAAGAGGGTTAGGAATTATCACGCATAGCAACTTTCGTATGCTTTTCCGTATTATGTAATTGAATTTACTTTCACTTTCGGACACTTATCCCATACATGCCATCCTTTGCATTTGGGACAGTTTGTCAGCTTTTCTTCTCTAGAGCATCCTCATAAAATATGTAGTTGGAGTTAGTCTTCCTTTCTCATAGTTCTGATAAAACCAGTCGACATTCCTCTTCATACAACGCTTCCAGTGTCTGTCCATTATTTCAACAATTCACTATGTACATACTGATGTCCTATGGTTTTTCTCACGCGACATCTGTCCATGAGTAAAAAGGGCGAACTAAGATCGTTTTAATCTCGAATGTATACCGTAGTAATCTTCTTTCATTTTGTTCACAATGTCGAATGTATCAACCTTTTCAAGGTGTTTCATCTGACGATTGTCTTCGAGTCTTCTTATTGCTCCTCTACTGTTTCAGATATCCGAATACAATTCTGTAAAAAAAAAGCATTTTTACTGCTGTTTATTGATTCCAAGACTATTATACAGTGTAGTACTTAAATTAAAGGCGTATATACAAAACCACTTAACTGCTCAATCCACTTAATCTTACTGTTTTCATTTTTTATACTTCTATCATACCTTTGTAACACTCCTTCTGTATGACGTTAATTCAGATGTATAAAGTGTATATCTTTGAGCCTAGGAACTACTTTATGTTTGTTAAATAGCCAATACAAACAAAATGATCAGCATTTTTGATCAATAAGTGATTGACCTTATGTTCATATGTCTAACTACATATTATGTGTATGTATATTGATTACCTTCTGTAGACAACTTGTTAACCTATTGTTGAACTTAACACCTCTGTCATACACTCTCTAGTGAGAAGTAGTATACTCAAGCATAAGTCACTTTCCAAAATAATTAATTTCTTCAAATCTTCTTATATGACATTAGTTTTCATATGTTTTGTTGACTACTCTGTTAAAAAATTTCTTGGACTAGCTAGTATTGTTCACAACAGTTATCGTCATTGATAGCGTTCGGCTCAAAGCTTCCTTTCTTCAGCATTATTATCTTTCGTTGATACTAGTTAGTTGTTTGAAGGTGAAATGGAAATCTAGGCCGTGGCAGGATTGAAATCTTTCAAACCACAGCTATTGCAGATAGTCAAAACTGATATATAATTCAATGCTACCTTTTGTAATTCACCTTGATTTCGATTTTGATGAGAAGTCCTGACTGGGTATCCAGTAGGAATACAATCAAGCGGCAGTAACATGTCACGAATTCACATGACTGTCATTTCGGCAATATCTTTGGCAATGGAAGTGAAATAACTATCTGATCAGTAGTCAGGTCTCATAGATCACTTGATAGAGCACCGGGGGAGTCGGTAAGCGAGTATTCACTGGCTCGAATCCCACTGTGATCCAAATTTTCATTTCACCCTCAATCATCATCCAGTAGCAATAATGCAAGTCTCCTAAACCACGACTGTCTCAGATCGTGGAAACTGACTATTGCATATGTAACTTTGCTCTTTGATGTATGTATATTGAAGTAATTAAATTCAGTATTTTTGTACTGAGTTGTTAACCATATTTAGTGTTTAAAGGCTAATAATTGATATCCCTTGAAAAGTTCAATCCAATGTATAGTTGGCATCGATTTGAGTCAGTCAGTTAAATCGTTGGATATCCATATGAGATCTGACGTCACTGCCTAACAATGCAAATTTGCCACACGTCACATCAGCATATCAAGCTAGAAAACATCAAGATGAAAGATACAGTATTCAGGAAAAAAGTAATCAAAAGTGACAGGAAGTCACAAAAACAACAAGAGGGGATAAAACGATAGTGAAATTTGACAGGATGATTTAAAGTGATGTGTATCTGTGACACTGAAGTCGATTCTCAGCCATAGAGTTCCCACACACACCTCTTGATACTGGTTGTCACTCAGAGCTGAATCGGAAAGTCTACATTTTCCGGGATTGATGTGTTATGCTTTAGTCTCACCAAATCTAACCTATTTTCAACCTAAATTTGCTGCAGCTAATATTGGACGATGGGGTAAACAGTGACTAGCCATTTAATTTGGGAAATCTAGTTACTTTTCAAGTTGGTATTCATCATGGGCTGACATCTGTCAGAGAAGCATTGGAAACTTGGGAGCACTAGAAAGCTGTTCAGTCATAGTATGGGACTCCTCAGCGGTGCGCACCCATGACCCCGCTTCGCCAGGAACCGAACTCAGGACCTTCAGGTTCCATGGTCAACACATCATCATTGAACCACCACCCAATCTGATCGTTGTCCTCGCACATCACACACGATCACATTGGTTGATGGTCGCGCTACATCGTGAACTGACAGAAGTTAGGAATATGGACCAGTGGATTCCGATATAGTGGCTCAATGGTGACATGTCACCGCGGAATTTGAAGGTCCTGGGTGCGCGCCGCTGAGGAGTCTCACAGTGGGAGGAAACAGCTGTCCAGTACATCCAGGTTTCTAATATTCCTCCAGCTGATTTCAGTTCATGATGAATATCAACCTGAAAGGTGACTGGCCATGACCAGGGTATGTGGCAATAAGCATGTTCAGCAACAGCCTACTGTATCCGGAAATGCTTAACTCGAAAGTTACCCTAAGGTTTAAATCCAACCTTTCTAATGTCTACACACTTGATGCACATCATTTTCTTATGCTGTCGATTATCTTCAATCGAAGTTATCAATATAATTGACACACACTTATAAGAGAAATTTGTTACCTCTCTTCACAGTAGTAGTAACTGATAACTTTAACCTAAGATTCACACAGACTTAAGTCTAATATATAACAAATCTGAACTATCTTGCTTTTTATAGAATATTTTATATCTCAGATAATTGTAATTACTTTCAATATTATGCTTGAATTTTCTGAAATATCTGATTTTTCGAATCAGGTTGGGCGCATGTATCATGCACGCAAGCCTGTATATATGATCATCATCACAGGGATACACAAAGAAGGATTTGTTTGCATAAATCGCCTTAATTTAAAAACAGTTTCTGTCTTTTTCAAACAACTTCATATATCGTATAATCTTCATTAATTTTTATGTACATTATTCGTATATCTATCCTTATTACTTTACTGGGACTAGAAAATCATTTACTGTCATTTTGTATATGTTTGTTGTATATACATTGAAATGTTATTTTGATGCAAGCAAATTGATTTATGATTGGTTGACGCTGAACAAGTAACTCTCAGTTTATTTTCTGTCATTTTTAACTGGCCATTTTTATGAACTCTGTCAAAAGAAAATAATTGAAAACATATAAATCATAAAGAAATGAGTATTTTATCTTTTTATTTTTCAATTTTTCTCATCTCACTGTATTACTTTTCATATTTTCAACTTTCCCCACTCCTTTTTGGCTTATGAATATAGAAACATGCAATCACTTTATCTGTAATAGTGTGTATTTTGCTTTCTCTTTCAATTTTTATAGTTATATATTTGAATTTTTATCGAAATAACTAACTTGTTTTATGTTCATGTTTTTGTTTTACACTAAAAATTTTAGCTGCTTTACGCAAATCGAAATAGTCAAACCATAGCTATACAACTAGATCCACCAATTATAGCCAAACGATTTCGTATACTGCCTTACACAACTGAATCAAATCCTAAATTAATGTGCCTTCGATTAGCTATCTATGGATCTGTGTTTGACGGTAATTGTTTTTCATTTCAATAATAGATCTGTCTTATTTTCTTTATGTCAGTGTAACTTGATGCTGGCGTGTTTGTTATGCTGGGATCTTTATTACCATCAAATACGCATCATAGTTGTAACCAACTAGTTTGTGGCTAACATAGGAATTCAGTGGGACTCGTCAGTTGCATATACCTGTAACTCAGTAAACGATGTTAGCTCTCCATCTAATCAATTATTATCATTATTTATTGATATACTTGTAATTCTCCATTGTTTTACGAGATCCTATTGTTCAATTACTATTGGCATATGGGCTCGTATGCGGATGCCTTGACATTGACTGAATGTTAATTACGGTAATTTACTTGGTTATGGCCAGCAGAGGAACCCAGGATGCATATTTCCTCCTATTTGAGACTCGCTTGTCAGCTGGATGTACCTGCATCCCTGTGCACCCCTAAGGCAAGAGGAAGTGGCATCGTGCCTCCATGACCTAGTGGATAACGCTTTAGAGTTTGAATCGAAGGGCAGGTACATCCAGCTGATGAGTCCCAAATAGGACGAAACGCGTATCTTGGATTCCACTGCTACCCACAACTAAGTAAATTACTATTATTGTTATCATCATCTATACAATATCTATAAATATAGTGTTGGTGAATTTTCACAATTGACAAAATATTATGTATATTAGACTGAATTGACTAATTTTTGACGGGTTGCTTATTTGCACACAAACACTCTCCAGTCCCACATTATACAATCGTGTCATTTATGTTTATCACAACTTGTGAATAACAATTAATTTTCAACTTTGAATGATTTTGACAGGTTAATTATTTATTATTATGATTCATTCCGATATGATATGGAGTTGATTTCGAAAATTTTCAGCATTTTCTTCATGTTAAATGTGCTATACAGGATTGTATATTCATATAATTTAAGGTATCTTTTCACCAATCACTTGTCTATACCATAGAGAGAGAGAAAAAAAAAGCACAGTTACAGTGTTATATAATCGTCTTAGCATCGAACTTCATGGACAACTTGGATATATTTTTAAGATGATGAAAAACTTCATAGGTGTTTTTTTACAAAGCGTATTTTTGCAGATGTTTATTCACTTCGTGAAATAAATATATGAAAAATCCTAATCTGAGATGTATTAAGAGTAGGGTGCACATATATACACCCATGCAGTTAAATCTCATCGATTGGCTAATATTATGAAATTTTGTTGTTGATTTGACAGTTCAATCCTAGATTAAAAGTATGATAATGGGACATGAGAAAAAAAAATCTCAACTATACGAATCTGTTCAAAATAAGCAGTCTTGATATAAACCGAGATGTCTTCTCAGATTAGGCGCTATTCTCATCTACTCACTTGATTTCAATTTCAATTTCGCTACACATCATCTATCAACATAGGAGCAGGCATTACTGCTACACAGCCCATTGTATGCTTATTTTGTGAGTAAATAATAGGCACATTACCGTAATTTGTAGTCACAGTTGAACTAAATTATCTGTACATTAGACTATTTAAGCTGTGACATCGTTTCGGTGAACTGTATATTAAACGATGGTGTGGTGAAACTATTATATTATTTGTCCCTTGGGTTCCTAGTGGAACATAGGGCACCTCGCCATTTCACTCTACTCTCTACAGTCTTTTCAACCTAGCTCCACCACTACCCATAGGCTTTCATTTCTTCCTCACACCATCCCCTCCATGTCACCCTCGCCTCGGATGCCCAACTCGCTGTCTTCCCTTTGGATTCCACTCGACGGCCTGGCGTGGTGCGTGATGTCCCCGAAACTGTTGTGTAACTGGAGTATTTTTCTATGATTGATCCGTTGGGAAATGAATTCTTTGTACGAAGTGAAGCCCAGGAGTAACATATTTTACTGACTACTAATTTCGAGATAAATGACTGTAGGTCAGTTGAACAGAACGGTTCTCTTTTTCACATTTGTGAACTACGAATTGTATTTCTTCAATCCTTCCTAATCCGTTACATTTTTATCATTTTTTAAGTACTTAAAATTGTCAGTTTTGCGATATTTATATCCTCTTGTAGATGGAGTCGTGGAATATTCAATCCCTGAAGGAGATGTTTACCGACTTGATCCACGTGGAGATATTGTTCTGAATGACACAAGTTATGATGGAGTGTTAATCTCAGAACCGTCTGTAACCAGTGGTTCTAGTGATACAACTGAACGACGTGATTATCTTACTGGTGGTCTTGGTCTACTTATGGATAAACAGTACTTTGAAGGGAGTCTTCCTGAACATTTAGGCAGTCATAGCGTTGTCGGTTGGTTTCGACGTCTGCATACTTCTCCTTCTGGTCGTATTACTATGTTGTTCAAATTCGATCAAGGTTAGTCTTTTCGATGCAATAACCTATAGTGTGTTTCTGTTTGTAAAGATGAGGCTCACTGACTTGATCATTTGACGTTCGACCAATGGGTCCCGGGTTCAAACCCAGCTCCACCTACTTCGGGCTAGGCAGCCGTATAGTGTCATATCAAAGTGGGGTCTTTAGCGTAGGACGTAAACCTGAACCTGACTCATTTACATTATTATTATTAATTGGATAGCGATCCGGGGTTGCAATGGACTGGCATCATTTGGAGAAACACGGGGAACCTGGTTGCGGAACCTGCAGGTCCTGGGTTCTATTCTCAGTGGGGTCGTGGGTGCGCGTTGCTGAGGCGTCCTATACTGGGATGAAACAGCTGTTCAGTGCTCCCAGGTTTCCAATGTTTCTCCAAGTGATGTCAGTCCATGGTGAATACCGACCTAAAATAGTAAAGCTAACTGCACACACAACTGAATAACGAAAGTCGACAATATCACTCTATGCACTTTTATATATTACCTTGGAAATATTAGATGCACAGTTAACATTACGTTTTAAGTTTTATACATATATAAATTCAATTTGGCGTATGTTATATACATGGTATACATTAGATAGATGGATTATAGTACTTTTATGTTAGTGAGAATGACATCTGTCATCTTGAATGTTCCTAGTTTCTTTCCACTGAAACTTCTAGTCATCTAGATTTCCACATAACACATTCATTGGAAAATGTGAATACTTATTTTACTTATTATCATTGCAAAGACGATTATGCACATATTCATCTTGCACGAAATTATAACATCTTTTTAGATTATTATTATTTATGAATATGCCTTTAATTCTCCGTTTTGCATCCGTGGCCTAGTGGATAACGCTTTGGCGTTTGAGGTGATAGGTATTAGGTTCCAGTCTCAGTGGGAACAACATCACTCCACACTGGGATGCAGGTGTATCCAGCTGATAAGTGAGTCGCATATAGAACGAAACTCACATCCTGGATTCCTCTGCTAGCCACAGACAATTAAAGTCTTTTTGATCTCCTGATATTCAAAGAGAAGCTTTTTTTACTCTATGTCATCTGATGGAAATGGTCAAGCATTTAAGTTGCTTTCTGGTATCTATCATCGATATCACTTCCCCTAACGTGATTAATTTAGTTTTAGTATGGCACTATATGAAGTGTAATGTATGCAAATATAATGAATGATGACAGATAATATTTAAATTGTTGCTGGTTGATGATTGAAAGTGAAATAGAAATCTGGGCGGCAGTGGGGTTCGAACCAGAGACTTTTAGGTACATAAATATAATCCTATGAGATGAATGGTAGATTTTTGTCTCAGAATAATCCATTCATGCAGAAGCATAATTAATGTTAGTTAACTGACTTTTACGAAAGAAGAGAAGCAAAGGAAACAATAGGCCGACCACTTCAAGAAGCTCTTGAATCGACCACCACCTGCACTTCGTCCAGAAATACCACCTGCATCCGCTGAACTACAAGTGAACATAAATCCTCCAACAAAAATGGAAGTACTGAACGCCATAAAGCTACTGAAATGTGGGAAAGCAGCAGAACCAGACGGGATACCGTCAGAAGCACTGAGAACAGACACAGAGACAACAGCGGATATGCTCACACCACTATTGTAGAAGGTGTGGAAGGAAGAGAAGGTAGCTGGCCAATGATTGGAAGAAGGGTTACGTTGTCAAACTGCCAAAGAAGGGAGACCTCAGTGTTTGGAAGAACTGGCGCGGAATCACTCTCCTGTCCTCCCCAAGTAAAATATTAAGCCGCATCATCCTGGATAGGCTTAAGGATGCACTGGATTCAAAACTACGACCGGAACAGGCAGGCAGGCAGGCTTCAGGAAGTACAAATCATGTGCGTATCAAATTGCAACGCTTCGCATCATCATAGAACAGAGCATAGAATGGCAATCAGCTCTCTACCTCAACTTTATCAACTTTGAGAAGGCCTTTGACAGCGTGGATCGAGAGGTAGTTTGGAAACTGCTTCATTACTACGGAGTACCTCAAATTTTCACCGCCTCATTCAACAACTATATGAAGATGCCACATGCCAGCCAAGTAGTTCACAATGGGAAGCTCAGTGATGCATTTGAAGTGAAGTGAAGACAGGAGTGAAACAAGGTTGCCTACTATCCCCCATGATATTCCTGATTGTGGTCTAGTGGACTGGATCATGCAGCATACAACAGTGGGGAGCTGTGAGAAGAGGGAGATACGCTGGCTAGACTGCGGAAAAGAACCTAGAGGATCTGGATTTCGCCGATGACTTGTGTCTGATGTCACATAAACTTGAAGATCTACAGGCGAAAACTGACAAGTTGATAGAAGAGGCAGGGCAGCGAAGACAGGACTTCAGGTGAATATAGAGAAGACAGAGGTGATGAAGATACCTCACCACCACCAACAACAACAAACTCCAGTCACCATGAACAGTAGAAAGTTAAAGGAAGTAACCTCCTTCACCTATCTAGGAAGCATTGTTTCAACTACAGTCTGTGGCACAGGCATAGACGAGGATGTCAAAGTGAGAATCGGAAAAGCAAGACAGGTGTTCATTAGCCTGAAACCAGTGTGGAGATCTTCTGCAATGCACTCAGCATGTGGAACAAGATCCAGATTTTCAACACCAACGTCAAGTCAGTGCTTCTGTATGGTTCAGATACTTGGCGCGTTAAGAAAGAGATTTCCAATAAACTACAGACATTCATGAACAACTGCTTAGACTGGCTCGCTACTGAAGGTGAGATGGATTGCCAGAAAGAATAAGCAACAAGGAGCTCAGGGAACGAACCAACGAAGCAAGAACCTATCGCTGAACAAATATACAGGAGGAAATGGAGATGGATTGGCCATGCACTGAGAAGACCGATTTGGGACATCACGCGTCAGGCCAGTTGCTCGAGCGGAACCCAGGTGGGAAGCGACGAGTTGGGTGTCCGAGGTGAGTGTGACATGGAGGAGATCGTGTGAGGAGGAAATGAGAGGTTGTGGGCTGTCGTGGGACCAGGTTGAAAAGATCTCAGAGAGCAGAGTGTACTGGAGGTGTGCTACTGAAGCCCTATGTTCCACTAGGAACCCAAGGGACTAATAATATAAAAATAAAATTGACTGTTACAGATGACAACAGTGATGTATTGTCCAATGTAAACATTACTGGCTTCCCGTGGTGGTTTAACAGAATGAGGTTGTGAATTTACTAACAAATATAAGTCTTATGATACATATGAGGTAATATAATAAGGTAACTGCTAAGCTGCATTTGTACTGAACGCTTTAACAGCCTAGCAGGGTGAGACTTAAAGTTATCCCTAGGTGTTATAGGATACTATCTGAAAATATATATTTTATGTCTTTTGTGAATATATATTCTGAAGCAAAAACCGCAATCCTAATTCCTTTTTTTGGACCTAAGTTGAGGCCTCAACTAACTCAATGTGATCCGTGAGCATCATTTATCCTGAATAATTGTACTTACTTTCCACCTGAGAAGTGGGATTGTAGCCAACACTGAACATAAAATTAACGGTTTGAGACACGATTTATTGACAGATAGCATTGTAAAAACCATCCAAATAGTTAAAATATTCATACAAAAACACAGAAAATGTTGATATCTCCACAAACAACTGGACAGTGTATGGGGAGCACGATAACATCTGGGAATAACTTTTAGCCTCACCCGCCTAGCAATTCATAAAAACATTGTTATATTGCAGTCTACTTGGTGACTAAGAGTAGAGTTTACGGTGCACCTCTCGTCCTGCTTAGGGTTCGTCAGCTGCATCCCACTAGGACTTTAACACAGGACCCATCGCTTCACACGCCAAAGTATTATCCCCTAGGCCAATGGGGTACAAAAGATCGAGCAATTCGACACAATATTGCAGTGAGTAATTATAGATATCAATAAACATAAGCACTTTTATTTAGCGTCTGCTTCATAAAATCGCTGAATCGGGAAATCTAATTACTGATTACTTGAATGGGATTCATCTGGGTCAGTGATAGCTTCTTTATATGAACCAGAGTTCATCGAGATGAAGTAATATGCATGATATTCATATTACCAAACTCCACCTTCAAACCCTTCCCCTGAAAAAAGTTGTCCTCTTTTTATGTAACATTTTATTCTGCTGTGCAACTAAACATACTGTCTACCAGGTTCACTGAACCGTAAATGAAGACCTTTATTATGCGAAATTCATTAACTCAAATGTATCAGTTACTTTCGATGACGTAATCCAAAAAAACACATGTAGTGTTTATGAAAGAGTCATTGAACAATATTCTTTCGAATTGTGGAGTAGAAATTAGTTTTCTGCCAGTGTTACTAGTGCATCCTGATTAAAAGTGTCAATAGATGTTAAACTGACAATGGATGTTTCCTATCAGTAGCTTCAAACAACCATTCAGTCATTGAACCAGAGTGTATAAGTACTTCTATTCAACAGTATGATGATGAATCAGTTGGTCATGGGAGAACAGCAACCAATTTCGTGTTTGAACAGTATAAGAACAAAGACATTTGCAGAATAAAATGAGTTCATTTTACTTCATGGCTTTTCATCAGCTGCAAATAGCCTACAATTGAAATGAAGTATTAGTAGTTGTAATAGTGACATGACATACTTTAAATATGTAGGAATAAATGAAGATTTGAGATCGAGGATTAACGATAAGGTAGTGAGTGAGTTAAGGAAACAGAGGATTAATAGTTACAAATCTTAGTCAAACTCAATTGCAATTTACATCTGATGAGATAGAAAATTCCGGAGCTGTGGAGTTGGGGGAACTACAAACGAAAATCAGTGTAGAAGAAGGGACTGTTTATAAGAGCTAATAGATTGCGTAATTGCATTAAAAACTGAAAATGGTTAGGTAACTGACAGTCAGTAATTCATCAAGAGATGATGCAGTCTAACGAAAAGGGAAGACTATATGTACACATGTAGAAAACTGCATACACTTACCAAGG